CGTGGTCTCACCCAAGATGGCGGCTCCTGGAGCAGCTGAGCGTTCCGGACTAGAAAGCAATGGATTTCTTGCTTCTGCCACAAATTTCCCAGTGGTAAGTCTTCCAACCTTCTAAATACTCCTTTATATGTGGTTCAGAGTTCTGGGACCATCCCCTGAGCCTGCTTGGTCCTGTATTTTGTGTGGTTGTTGGCGGAACTTTTCACTGCACTTCCACCCGATCTGCCATCTTGTTTGCTCCTTCTTGAGAGGCTTCTTATGTTGGGCTTTTATTTTTGTTTTAAGCATTAACAATGACTCTACTCTCCCAATGCTCAATTGGTTTCTTTGGGATTTATTTTCAGACCTTATCTACTTTTAAACTGCCTTATTATCTGAAAGTTCAATACAGAAAATGTGCTTTTACCCTGGTGTGTGATAAATTTGTGAGTTGGTATAATTTTCTCCTCAGAGTTTGTAGTGCTCTTGGTACTACCCAGTTAGCAGTTATTTGCTATATTTACTTCATAATTTCTTTGTTGTGCATGTACGTGTGTGTAAGGGTAGGGGCTGATAATAACGTAATAAGAAAGGTAATTTGTTACAAACTATGGTTTTTATATGTAAAATCTTTGTTTGAAAATGCCATGTCAGCGCTGACATAGTGAAGGCCATAGAAAATAATGGTATACTAAAATATTAATAACCTGAGAAACTCTGGTAAGAGTTGTTGTTAGGTGCGATCAAATTGGCTCCAACTCGTAACGACCCTATAGACAACCGAACGAAACACTGCCTCATTTTACACCGTCCTCACCATTGTTATAGCACTGTTGCCGCTACTTGACAATTCAGATCACTGAAGACCTTCCTTCCACTTTACCAAGCAGGATGGCCTTCTCCAGGGACGGGTCCCTCCTGACAACATGCCCAAAGTATGAGAGATTTAGCAGTGCCACCCGCGCGTCTACAGAGCATTCTATTCTGGCCGCACCTCTTTAAAACACATTTGTTTGTGCTTATGACAGTCCATGGTACTTTCAATATTTTTGCCAACACCAAAATTCAAATGCATCAATTCTTCTGTGGTCTTCCTTATTTACTGTCTAACTTTCACATACATATGAGGCGAATACAAATACTATGAATTGGGTCAGTGCACCTTATTCCTCAAACTGTCTTCACTCTTGAATACTTTTGCAGCAGGTTTGCCGACTGCAATTCATCTTCTGATTTCTTGACCAGCTGCTTCCATGTGTGTTGATTGTTGATCCAAGCAAAGTGAAATCTTTGACAACTTCAGTCGTTTCTCCATTGATGACGATGTTACTTATTGGTCTAGTTGTGGGGATTTTCATTTTGTTCACATTGAGGTGCAATCCATACTGAAGGCTGTATTCTCTGATTTTCATCAGTAAGTATTTTTCTTTTCTTTTTTTTTTAAGTATTTCTTTTTGATACCAGCAAGCCAGGTGTCATTTGTGTATTGCAAATGAGTTAATGAGTCTTCTTAAAATCCTGATACCATATAATCTAGCTTCTCAGATTATTTTCTTAGCATTCAGATTGAATAAGTATGGTGAAAGAATACAATGCTGGCACACACCTTTCCTGATTTTAAACCATTCAGTGACCTCATGTTCTGTTCGAATGACTGCCTCTTGGTCTACGTACAGGTTCCTCATGGCATAAACAAGTGAGTGCTTCTAGCACTGTTTCAGTTTATTTAAACATTTTAATTTGTATTCCATCAATACCTGGGCCGTGTTTTTTGATAATGGCTTCAGTGCAGTTTGGACTTTTTCCTTTACTACCACGTTATCTCTTGAAATGGTTTGACATCAACCAATTCTTTTTAGTACAGAGACTCTGTATTCCTTCCATCTTCTTTTGTTGGTTCCTGTATTGTTCACTATTTTGCCCATGTTGTTGTTGGTAAGTGCGTGGAGTCAGTTCTGATTTACAGCGACCCAGTGCAGGGTTTCTGAGGAACAGCTTGTGGGTTAGAACTACCAACCTTGTCGTTAGCAGTCCAGTGCATATCCTACAGCACCACACCAGGACTCCCATGGAATTCTTCAATTTTGCCTATGTTGCTGTTATTAGGTGTCGTTGTCCAGTTGGTGCCGACTCAGAGACCCTATGCACAACAGAATGAAACACTGCCAGTCCTGCACCAGCCTCACAATTTGGCCCATAGAATCCTTAAATAGTG